ATTTTATAATAAAGTAGTGAATATAATATTAATTTTTGTTTAATATTTATCCACTACAAAAATTTTCACCGAAAAAAGTGTATGTAAATATTTTGTAAAATATTAAATCGGCAAAACGTGTCTCTAGAGTAGTTGAGTTCTTAACTAAATGAAAATCAATGACAGCATTGACAGTTTGTCAAACAACAGGATGTTTCACATAATTTTGTTTGGCTTAGAACAACTCTGTGTTGTTAATGTAAACAAAAAACAACGTTACGTTTGTATTCAATAGGAATGTATGAAAATTAAGTTAAAATTGCAATTTCATTGAAATTTCTTAGAAAATTACAACAAATATATTGAAAAATAATGATTTTTCATAATAATTTTTATTTATTTAAGTTTTTTTATGATTTTTCATATTAATTTTCCATATCCTCTATATTTACTTTATCGTCTTTTTCAAGTTCTTGTTGCTTCTCCTCTTCTCTTTTATTTTCCTCCGCTTCTTTTTGTATTTTCTGCTCAAATAACAATTCTCTGGCTCGACATTCTTGCCGATAATATTTATTCAATATAATGGAGAAATAATAAAAAATTTCCACTGCTGAAACCATGCTCATGCCCACGAATAAACTGAAAGCGCTGCCTAAATTAGCTAAAAAATAAAATATTTATAAAATTTTTATTTGTAGTAATAGTTTACTACTTACAGACCAATGTCACCATATTGGATAAGAGATCATGACGTACTCGGCGAAAAACTTGAGAATTTATATAGACATGGACAACGCTATAGTCCTTTTTAATACCATCGCTGAAATAAAGTAAATATAAATAATACTATATGGCTTTGTAAAGGATTTTTCTATACAAAATAATGTCATCTTTAGAGAGGCTTTTTCTATAGAAAAAGGTTATTCTTTAGAGAGAAACTTATCTAAAGAAAAAAGTCACAATGAGGCACATTTCTGAAGAAACTGTCATGTCTTACTTACTAAAAGTTATCTATAGTGGGAGTATTCAATTGCAACGGTGCACTGGTGACCTGAACATCATACTCAATCTTTTCACAGCTTCTATAACAGGAACACTGAGTCGTCTTATAACGGCCAATAATAGCAGCTGCAAAAAAAAAAATTGCCAAATACTCTCTCTATCACTCGTTTTTTAATCGTTTATATCACTTTTTCTCTCTCACCAAAATTATCCACCAAACAAGGTATATCCTTATACGAACATATACGATCCTGAGTTCGATTACTAAAGAAAAAATACGTATAACAATTGCATAGTTTGAGCATTAATTCCACCCGACAATTAAGCTCACAATTAGCACCAATATACGAACGAAAAAAGGTCAAAGGCCTTTCATTGGGAAAAACACATTTACGATTTTCGAAGGCAAGATCTTTGACGGCTTGTGAACAAAATGTTTCGGTAGGTCGTACCGTCATGAAAACTTCTTCGTTGAGGGGTACAAATTTGATTATGGAGTGAGCACTGGGAAAGGCATTCGTTTGTTGTATGAGCACTTTGAAACCGTGGGAATAGGAGTAGATACGATCGAATATACTGTCATTGTAGTAGAGGATGAGTGAGAGACCATTGCGTAGTCCGGAATGGGCATAACGATTGGTAAAGTTGATGCTTAAGAAAGGGAAAAATATATTAAATTTTTTTTTTATAGTCTAGTCTATAGTGTAGTCTATAGTCTAGTATATAGTCTAGTCTATAGTCGAGTCTATAGTCTAGTTTATAGTCTACTCTATAGTCTGGTCTATAGTCTAGTCTATAGCCTATTCTATAGCCTTGTTTATAATCAAGTGTATACTAGAATATATAGTCTAGTGTATAGTCTAGTTTATAGTCTAATGTATAGTCTTGTCTATTGTCTACTTAGTATATAGTCTGGTCTATAGTCTTATCTACAGTCTAGTCTACTCTAGTCTATAGTCTAATCTATAGTCTAGTCTATAGTCTAATCTATAGTGTAGTCTAGTCCATAGTCTAGTTCATAGTCTAATCTATAGTCTAATCTATAGTCTGGTCTATAGAGTTCAAAATTTCTTCGGCAATAAATTTGAAAACTGAACACTCACACAGATTGATTTAAATTGAACGAACAGCAATAACCACTAAAAGTATGAGCAACTTGGAACAATCGGGTACAGGGTACAATCTCATCCTTATAACGACATTTATATATAATATCGCTACAATTCCAACTTATTTTTCCAACAAATTGTAAAACACTTAAATTATTGAGAATCAAAAGTTCCTCTAATAAATTCAATTCTTTAGGGGAATATTTAATGCCATCATACATGAAACCATAATTAGCATCTAAAAGATCTAAAATATCCGGCACCGAGGTAAAATTGGGTAAAATTCTGGAATGAGATTAAAGAAAAATTAAGAACATTTTGTAACGAAATCCGAAAACTCTTACAATGTCTCTAAAAACTCTTTAGATTTCTGCATATTATACATGACCTCCGGACAAATGGTGGTGGGGGGAAATATAAGACTTGAAATAGGGGCATGATCATTTTCCACATTCATGCGTGTAGGATTGCTGCTATAGTCGACATAAAAGGTAACCACCATGACCACAGCACAAATGAACATTATTAAGGAAATTAACATCCAAATAAATCTGAAAAATAAGATTTATTTCTATTTTATATTAAATCCTAGAAAGATATTCCAAAATTGTACCTTATATATTTATTAGTTTCCTCATCTTTGGTATATTTTAAGCCGTGAATACTGGTGGTATCACAAAAAGCATACCAGGTACGTTTGAGGGCTCCCCTTAAGGCGGTAATAGATTCATCTATATCTTCAGGTTGTAATTCGGCGTGACCCATGTTAAACACTAATAAATAGTTTCTTTAAGACCAGTTAACTCAAGAATAATTGTGTAAATCAAAAATTTCCTCTTTTTATAACAAAAATTTCCCCTCAACATTTTTAGTCAATTAAATATTTCATAATAAAAACATCCTTTTTTTTTACTGTGCAGCCTGACAACCCTTAATTATAATCATATTAAGGTCTGTTTGGTTGTCAATTGTATTTTACGTTGTAGCATACTTTAAGGCAGTTTATATAAATATAGAAGTTTTGTAGGGGAATTGTTATTGTTTTGAAATACATGACCAAAAGCGTGCATGTTGTATGATTTTGTGAAATGAAGTACCAACAGCCGAAATAGCTCAGTTGGGAGAGCGTTAGACTGAAGATCTAAAGGTCCCCGGTTCAATCCCGGGTTTCGGCATAACAATTTTTTTTTCTTTTTTTTTTTCTTTAGAAAATATTTATCTATAGAAAAATGTTCGGACAATGACAGTTTTTTTATAGAAAAATGTTCACTAAAGACAGTTTTCTATAGAAAAATTTTCACTAATTACAGTTTTCTATTGAAAATTCTTCATCAATGACGGTTTTCTATAGAAAAATTAAAAATGTTCAGCAATGACAGTTTTCTATAGATTTTAGGATTTTCTAAGTTCACCAATGAAATTATTCTGTACAAAAATATTCAACAATGTTCAACTATGACCGTTTTCTATGGAAAAATGTTCACCAATTAAACTTTTGTATAGAAAATTTTTCACCAATGATAGTTTTATATAGAAAAAAGTTGAAGGATACATTTTTCTATAGAAAAAAGTTCACCAATGATATTTTTCTATAGAAAAATGTTCACCAATGGAATTTTTCTGCAGAAAAAAGTTCACCAATGGAATATTTTTGTAAAAAAAAGTTCACGAATCAAATTTTTATATAGAAAAAAGTTCACCAATGAATTTATTCTGTAGAAAAATGTACACCAATGACAGTTTTCTATAGAAAATTTGTCAATAATGATAGTTCTCTATAGAAAAAAGTTCACCAATGTTAGTTTTCTATAGAAAAAATTTTACCAATGACAGTTTTCTATAGAAAAATGTTCATCAATTGAATTTTTCTGTAGAAACAAGTTCACCAATGACGTTTTTATATAGATTTTAGGATTTTTTCTAAAAATTTTTTAAAAAAATTGTTCAACAATGGATTTTTTTATAGAAAATTTTTCACTAATGTTAAATTTCTATAGAAAAATGTTCAACAATGACAATTTTTTATAGAAAAATGTTCACTAATGACAATTTTCAATAGAAAAAAGTTCACCAATGAAATTATTTTGTAAAAAAATGTTCACTAATGAAATTTTTCTGTAGAAAAATTTTCACCAATGACAATTTTCTATAGAAAAATTTTCACCAATGACAATTTTCAATAGAAAAAGGTTCACCAATGAAATTATTCTGTAAAAACATGTTCACCAATGAAATTTTTCTGTAGAAAAATGTTCACCAATGACAATTTTCTATAGAAAAATATTCACCAATGACAATTTTCTATAGAAAAATGTTCACCAATGAAATTATTCTGCAAAAAAATGTTCACCAATGACATTTTTCTATAGCAAAATATTCACCAATGACAATTTTCTATAGAAAAATGTTCACCAATGACAATTTTCTATAGAAAAAAGTTCACCAATGAAATTATTCTGTAAAAACATGTTCACCAATGACATTTTTCTATAGCAAAATGTTCACAAATGACTATTTTCTAAAGAAAAATTTTCACCAATGTTAATTTTCTATAGAAAAAAGTTCATCAATGTCAATTTTCTATAGCAAAAAGTTCACCAATGATATTTTACTTTAGAAAAATTTTCACTAAAGTTAATTTTCTATAGAATAGAATCTTCACCAATGAAATCAGAACGCATTCCCATAACTTCTACGTCATATTATTGAGATATTGTTTAAAGAAAAGATTTACAGCCTGTACCTCCCATCATAACAATATGGTCAAGGTAGAGATAACCAGGCATACATATAATAAATGACCAGTAAATCCCACAATATTAGACCTGCTTATCTTGGACTAGATAGTAAATAGAATTTTATATAAAAATCACAACAAAACCATAAAAAAACTTTAGTTTTTCATTAACTTTTGCTATAGAAAGATGTTAAAGACCTTTAAAACTATAATAACATTACTTCTGCTAACAATATTGCTGTCCCGATCAAATGGCCAGCATAATCCACATTGGTGGTCGAATCGCAACACCATAGTCCATTTATTCGAATGGAAATGGCTGGATATCGCGCGAGAATGTGAGGAGTTTTTGGCTCCTCGCGGTTTTGCTGGCGTACAAGTGTCTCCGGTAACGGAAAATGTTATTGTTGCCAACCGTCCCTGGTGGGAACGTTATCAACCGATGTCCTATAAGTTGCAAACACGTTCCGGTTCGGAGCAAGAATTTGCCGAAATGTGTCGTCGTTGCAATAATGTGGGCATACGTATTTATGTCGATGTTCTACTTAATCATATGGCTGCCGATCAATATCAGCCGGCGGTGGGTACAGCTGGCTCTATAGCTGATCCAGGGGCAAAGTCTTTCCCTGCTATACCATTTACCGAATTAGATTTTCATTCGACTTGCGAGATTTGGGATTGGAATGATCGTTATCAGGTGCAAAATTGTGAACTGGTGGGTTTGAAAGATTTGGATCAAAGCAGTGAATGGGTAAGGGAACGTTTGGTGGAGCTTTTGGATCATTTAGTGGAGTTGGGTGTGGCAGGTTTCCGGGTGGATGCAGCAAAACATATGAGGGCTAGTGATTTGGAGGTGAGAAATCAATAAATATTAGGTTTCTGTGGAAAAAAGTTCATTGGTGACATGTTTTCTATAGAAAAATTTCATTAGTGAACATTTTTCTATAGAAAACTGTCATTGGTGAACATTTTTCTATAGAAATTTGTCATAATTTCTATGAAAAACTGTCATTGCTGAAAATTGTTCTTTATATTTCTAACTCCCCAGATCATTTACAATCGTGTACGCGATTTAAATGTGGATCATGGTTTTGCCCCCAGCTCCCGCCCCTTTATCTATCAGGAAGTTATCGATCATGGCCACGAAACTGTCAGCAAATACGAATACAATCAATTGGGTACGGTAACAGAATTTCGTTTTTCCGAAGAAATCGGTAGAGCTTTTCGTGGTCACAATCAATTGAAATGGCTGCAGAATTGGGGCCCTCAATGGGGTTTTCTACCGAGTGAACATGCCTTAGTTTTCGTTGATAATCATGACAATCAACGTGATGGCGGAGAGGTTTTAACCTATAAAACTTCGAAACAATATAAAATGGCGACAGCTTTTGCTCTGGCATATCCTTATGGTATAACCCGTATTATGTCTTCCTTTGATTTTTCTGATCGTGATCAGCCACCTCCTCAAACGATCGCGGAAGAGATTATATCTCCCGAATTTGATGAGATCACTGGAGCTTGCACTAATGGCTGGGTTTGTGAGCACAGATGGCGTCAAATTTATAATATGATTGAGTTCAAAAATGTTGTAGGCCCGGCGGGCATTAATGACTGGTGGGATAATGGTGATAATCAAATTGCCTTTTGCCGTGGTAATCGGGGTTTTGTGGCTTTTAATGGTCAATCGTATGATCTAAAAGAACGTTTAATGACTTGCCTGGAACCGGGTGTTTATTGTGATGTTATTTCGGGTTCAAAAGTTAATGGTCAATGTACTGGTAAAACGATCTTAGTGGAATTATGGGGTTATGCTGATATCTTTATAGGTTCCCAGGAAGAAGATGGTGTTTTGGCTATACATCAAGATTCCAAATTGTAAAAAACAGGGACCTAATGGAAAAATAAAACTCAGATGATTTAAATTTTCAAAAATACAATACATTTTTTTTTTTATTGAAAAACATTTTTATTTTGGATTTGGGGAATTTTTAAACATCAATTATGGTTTAATTTACAAATTTTGGGGGGAAATTTAATAAAATCTGTAATTAAATTTGTTATTAAAAAGTATTTTTGTGCTGGGTAGTGAAAACTTAGAAAATTTAATAACTTATGATAATATTTATTAAAATTATTTCAAAAATCTTTAGAAAATAAGTTAAACCTGGTTTAGTTAAACTTAATAGAAACAAGTTTAACTTAATAAAACTATATTTTTAAAAATAAACTAAAGTTTTATTAAAGAAAATGCTGAATTTATAGATTTTTTAATTAAAAACTAGTTTAAACTCGGTTTAGTTAAACTCGCTTAAATAAAGTTTAACAAAAATTAATCACACATTTTTAATAATCAACAATATTTTATTGGAAAAAGTTATATGTTTTTAAATTTTAACTGAACTGAAGTTAAACTTGGTTTAATTAAACTTTATGAAAACAAGTTTAACCTTAAGAAACTATTATTTTATAAATTACATTAAATGTTATTAAAGAAAATTCAAAAATTTTAGATTTTTATAGAAAAAATGTTTTAAACTTAGTTTAGTTAAACTGACTAAAATAAAGTTTAACGCAAAATAATAATATATTCTTAATAATAACATACTGCTTATTAGGAAAAGTTAAAGTTTGACAAATTTCAATAAAATTTTGTTTAAACTTGGTTTAGTTAAACTTAATAAAAACAAGTTTAAGCTTATAAAACTAAATTTTCTTATATAAAACAAAGTTTTACTAAAGAAAATCTAAAATTTTTTTAATTTTTCTATAAAAACGGGTTAAACTTGGTTTAATTAAACTTAATAAAAACAAGTTTAACACTTAAAAACAAAATATCTAGGTAGTTTCAATCAAATTTAAAAATATTTTATAATAAACCCAGCAATTTGTATTATTTTTAGTTGATTTTTATGAAATTTTTAAGTATTTTTTTGTTTAATTTTTTTTTTAATTTATTTAAAATATGTTTAATTTGTTTGTTTATAATAAATATAATAATATCTTCTATTTAACTGTTGTAATAATTAATAAATATTTTTTTTTAATTTTCCTCTCCTCTCATACAAAAAACAACATTTCAGTTTAAAGTTTTTTTTTTAGGTTATAATAATGATTTTATAAAATATATTATTAGTTTTAATATTAATAAATAATTTATGGCTGTTGTGGTTAAAAATCCTTAGCAAAAACTGCAAATAGAAAAAGTTTTTTTTTAAAAACTTTAATAAATTTTGGGGAATTTCATTTTTTATTTTTTAAAAAGTTAGAAAGCCAAACATTTATTTGCAACATTGCTTTTGTATATGTACTACAAATTAAAAGTTTATAAATCATATAAGCAAATTATAAAAATCAAAGAAAAAAAAAAAACTTGTTCTACTTGCATTCGTTTAATAAAAGAAATTATAAGTTTATTTTAATATTTATTAAAGTTGTTTAAATAAAACTAAATAATGAAGCTATTAAACAACATAAATAAGTAAATTTTTATAAATAAAATAACCTCCATTAAGAAAAAAAAAAAAAATAAAAGTTTTTACTTAGTTTAAGCGTTTCCATTTTGTAAACAATTGGCATCTCTGTTTTTAAGTGACAAGTAATTGATAAACAAATGCATTGATTTGTTTTGTTCTGATGCAGGTATGGACCCCCGCAACATTTTAGCTACAGTATAGTCTATAGTCTAGCCTATAAACTAGTCTATAGTCTAATCTATAGTCTAGTCTAGTCTAATCTATATTCTATAGTCTAGTCTATAGTCTAGTCTATAGTCTAATCTATAGTCTAGTCTATAGTCTAGTCTATAGTCTAGTCTATAGTCTAGTCTATAGTCTAATCTATAGTCTAGTCTATAGTCTAGTCTATAGTCTAGTCTATAGTCTAGTCTATAGTCTAGTCTATAGTCTAGTCTATAGTCTAGTCTATAGTCTAGTCTATAGTCTAGTCTATAGTCTAGTCTATAGTCTAGTCTATAGTCTAGTCTATAGTCTAGTCTATAGTCTAGTGTATAGTCTAGTATATAGTCTAGTGTATAGTCTAGTCTGTAATCTAGTCCATAGTCTAGTCTAGTCTAGTCTAGTCTAGTCTAGTCTATAGTCTAGTCTAGTCTATAGTCTAGTCTATAGTCTAGTCTATAGTCTAGTCTATAGTCTAGTCTATAGTCTAGTCTATAGTCTAGTCTATAGTCTAGTCTATAGTCTAGTCTATAGTCTAGTCTATAGTCTAGTCTATAGTCTAGTCTATAGTCTAGTCTATAGTCTAGTCTATAGTCTAGTCTATAGTCTAGTCTATAGTCTAGTCTATAGTCTAGTCTATAGTCTAGTCTATAGTCTAGTCTATAGTCTAGTCTATAGTCTAGTCTATAGTCTAGTCTATAGTCTAGTCTATAGTCTAGTCTATAGTCTAGTCTATAGTCTAGTCTATAGTCTAGTCTATAGTCTAGTCTATAGTCTAGTCTATAGTCTAGTCTATAGTCTAGTCTATAGTCTAGTCTATAGTCTAGTCTATAGTCTAGTCTATAGTCTAGTCTATAGTCTAGTCTATAGTCTAGTCTATAGTCTAGTCTATAGTCTAGTCTATAGTCTAGTCTATAGTCAAGTCTATAGTCTAGTCTATAGTCTAGTCTATAGTCTAGTCTATAGTCTAGTCTATAGTCTAGTCTATAGTCTAGTCTATAGTCTAGCCTATAGTCTAGCCTATAGTCTAGTCTATAGTCTAGTCTATAGTCTAGTCTATAGTCTAGTCTATAGTCTAGTCTATAGTCTAGTCTATAGTCTAGCCTATAGTCTAGCTATAGTCTAGTCTATAGTCTAGTCTATAGTCTTAGTCTATATGTCTAGTCTATAGTCTAGTCATATAGTCTATAGTCTATAGTCTAGTCTATAGTATAGTCTATAGTCTAGTCTATAGTCTAGTCTATAGTCTAGTCTATAGTCTAGTCTATAGTCTAGTCTATAGTCTAGTCTATAGTCTAGTCTATAGTCTAGTCTATAGTCTAGTCTATAGTCTAGTCTATAGTCTAGTCTATAGTCTAGTCTATAGTCTAGTCTATAGTCTAGTCTATAGTCTAGTCTATAGTCTAGTCTATAGTCTAGTCTATAGTCAGTCTATAGTCTAGTCTATAGTCTAGTCTATAGTCTAGTCTATAGTCTAGTCTATAGTCTAGTCTATAGTCTAGTCTATAGTCTAGTCTATAGTCTAGTCTATAGTCTAGTCTATAGTCTAGTCTATAGTCTGGTCTATAGTCTAGTCTATAGTCTAGTCTATAGTCTAGTCTATAGTCTAGTCTATAGTCTAGTCTATAGTCTAGTCTATAGTCTAGTCTATAGTCTAGTCTATAGTCTAGTCTATAGTCTAGTCTATAGTCTAGTCTATAGTCTAGTCTATAGTCTAGTCTATAGTCTAGTCTATAGTCTAGTCTATAGTCTAGTCTATAGTCTAGTCTATAGTCTAGTCTATAGTCTAGTCTATAGTCTAGTCTAGTCTAGTCTAGTCTATAGTCTAGTCTATAGTCTAGTCTATAGTCTAGTCTGTAGTCTAGTCTATAGTCTAGTCTATAGTCTAGTCTATAGTCTAGTCTATAGTCTAATCTATAGTCTAGTCTATAGTCTAGTCTATAGTCTAGTCTATAGTCTAGTCAATAGTCTAGTCTATAGTCTAGTCTATAGTCTAGTCAATAGTCTAGTCTATAGTCTAGTCTATAGTCTAGTCAATAGTCTAGTCTATAGTCTAGTCTATAGTCTATAGTCTAGTCTATAGTCTAGTCTATAGTCTAGTCTATAGTCTAGTCTATAGTCTAGACTATAGTCTAGTCTATAGTCTAGTCTAGAGTCTAGTCTATAGTCTAGTCTATAGTCTAGTCTATAGTCTAGTCTATAGTCTTGTCTATAGTCTAGTCTATAGTCTTGTCTATAGTCTAGTCTATAGTCTTGTCTATAGTCTAGTATATAGTCTAGTCTATAATTTAGTCTATGGTCTAGTCTATAGTATAGTCTATGGTCTAGTCTATAGTCTAGTTAAGTCTATAGACTAGTCTATAGTATAGTCTATTCTATAGTTTAGTATAAGGACAAGCCTATAAACTAGTCAATAGTCTAAAGTCTTGTCTATAGTCTGGTATATAGTTTAATTTACAGTCTAGTCTATAGTCTAGTCTATAGTCTAGTCTATATGCCAGTCTATCCTATAGTCTAGTCTATAGTCCAGTCTATAGTCTTGTATATAGTTTAGTCTAACATATAGTATAGACTAGTTTATAGTTCAGTCTATTGTCTGTTCCATAGTCTAGTCTATAGTGTTGTATTATTGTTATAAGTTAGTACTAATTTAAAAATTAAATTTTCCATGTCTGTCATTTGTTGCGATTGTTTTCTTGCAGTGTGAGTGTTTTTGTTATTGTTTGCTCTTTAAAGTAAACAAACCATTACATTGTATTTGTTATGACAATGTTTTGTTTACGTTTGTTATAGTTTTACAGTGCTTGTTAAACTGTAATGGAGGTTATTTAGAAAAAATGCGGCACAGCCGTATTTTAGCTTTGTTTTTATTATAAAAAAAGCTCTAAATTTTAGATTTAACAAGCCAAATTAACTACTAATATACATATAAATATTATAATTAATTTTCATTTAAAAGATATGTTTTTATATATAAATTAAGTTTTGTTTTTTTTTTTTATATATTTAACATTTACATTAAATTTAATAAAAAGTACGGCCCCTTGACCAGCTTAAAAAATGTTTATTATTAATAATAATATTTCTTTAATAAAAAAATATTAAGTTTTTTTTTTATAAATTTTTATATACTTTAACAGGAACCATTTAAGACATTTTACATTGAAAAAGTGGGGAAAATTATTTATTTAATTTATGATAATTTTAGTTTAAATATTAGACACTTATTTGTAAAAAAACTTTTTATTAATTAAAAACTTTAACATTTATCAGGTAATGGGGTTTTTAATATAATAAATTTTTTTTATGTGTTTAAATGTTTATTCTTGTAAAAGTTGGTTTTTAAAGGGCTACAACAGACTTTTGGGGGTTTTGGGTTTTTTATATGTATTTCACTTTGATTTTATAAGTTATTGTTTTGTTTTTATTATTTTTTTTTTAATAAAAAACACTGAGAGATTGTCAAAAAATTTTGTGAAGTGCTCCTTATTGCTCCTTTATATATATTTTTTTTAAATTTTGTTACAAAAAGGGTTTGATTTTTATTTCAAGTTTATGTTAAATTTCCATATTTTCTTATGTACACAGCATTGGTCAGCTAACTAGCATGAAATTTACAAACTTGGTTTAGTTAAACTCAATTATGAGTTATAAAATCCTTTATTTTAAAAATCACTACAACTTTTAACTAATAATTTTATAGTTTAGCGCAAAAATGTTATTATAAAACTATAATGTTTTTTTTGATTCATTTCTGTTTAAACTTGGTTTAGTTAAACTTAATTAAAACAAGCTTAAGATTTAAATTTATCATTTTTGTAACTAAGAACAACATTGTATAATAAAAATCGCCGATTTTTGGATTTTTGTTGAATTTTAGTTTAAACTTGGTTTAGTTAAACTTGTTTAAACAAAGTTTAACTAGAAATGTTTATATATTTTTATAATTTACTTAAAACTTTATTGAATAATAACAAAATTTCTTATGTTGAAACAAAATTTGACTTAAACCTGGTTTAGTTAAACTTAATTAAAACAAGTTTAAGGGCTTTTAATAACATATTTAAAATGTAATTAGATGACCAATACTGTTTGCTTTAAAATTTTGAAAAATCTTTTAAAATTTATAAAGAATTTAAAAAAAATTTGGTGAATTTTTTTAATATAAAACGGGAATTTGTTTTCTTATAAATGGTGCTAGTTAGGTGACATAAAACATTTAAACATTAATTTAAACAATTATTTTAGATTTAGAAGAAAAATATCTAAAACATAGTTGTTATTATTTTGTTTGCCTAAGTGTGCTTCTTAGTTGACCAACACTGTGAAATATGAAATATGGAAAAGATGTATATTTAAATTTATTTAACTGCTTGTTCTTGGATTTTATAGGGAGTTTCACATTTATATGTAAATATTTAAATGATTTTGTTTTTTTTTTAAGAAAAAAATTATTGTTTTTATTATCAAATGGGAGGGGGTTTATGCAATCATAAGATGGCGCTTGTTTTTTTAATTTTTAGAAAAAAAGAAAAGAAAACACAATTTGTTAACAAAATAACGTATACCATTTGTTTTTTTAGTTTTTCAAATATCCAACTCTGTCTTTTGTTTTCTTAAAGAGTTGCCACACGTTTATTTTACTTTCCCTTAACCTTAAAATTGTGTTTTCTTGTTTTTTTTTATTTTAAGTTTAAATAGTTTCAATATTTTCATAACTAATACTTTCCGGGCAGACTTTTTTGTAGTTTCTTTCCTGGTTTCTTTGCTGGTGGTTCCCAAATGAAAAGTAAAAAGATTGTCTGCTTAGAAAACCTTTTTGTTAAAACTCTATCTAACCTACACCTTGAGCTTTAGTTTAGAATCGTTTGATAATTTCGCTTAATGCCTAATTATATAATTTTACTCTAAATTTTACTTCCCCTTAAGTGAAGATCTTTCCCAGTATTACCTATATTTCATTAACTACTTATTCCTCTATTCTTCTCCATTTGTCCTAAACACTTTTGCCCACAGTTTGTAAACGCCTGCGTCTACTATCTCTGCGTCGATATCTATCGATTATGCGACTCCTATGTCTTTCGGGACATAAAGCTTCAGGAGAGCTGTCCACCTTTTTCAAGACTATACGAAAAGTAAAAGTATGTTTGGGTGAAGCACTGGTAGCTCGTCTAGGAGAGGGCGGATCAAATTCACTGCCTGAGGAAAAGCCCCCACAGCCCGCACTACTACCCCCAGCAGCACTTAAAGCTCTGGGTGTGCCATTGGCATAACCCGAGGGTGTGGACATAGAGCCGGTGGAAAATTGTTGTGTCAATACCGAACTGGGTCGTGGCTCAAAGATCGAGGCACATCTTTGATCGGTGCACAAGAATGTCTTAACTTCTTCCTCTTTCTGTTTGATGGTCAAGGGGAAATGTTTTTTACTGGGATCAGCAAAAGGACTGCGTTGTGGTGGCTCATGATGGGGCACACTGGAGGAACTGGAGTCGTAGCTATCACGTGAACTATAATTCGAAGAAGTTTGATTGGATAGAGGACTGCGTGCACGTGAAAAGGCACTAAAGGGTGATATATGCAAAGATCTAAAGGTTTCGGTCTTTTGTTTCTTAGTCATGGGAAAATTGGGGGACCTAACCGTACTCAAACCCATACCGGAGACACCCATGCCAGCACCACTAGCCTCGGAGGGGGTATAATCAAAGTGAGTCTCCAAAGAAGATTTCCTGCCATTAGAGGAATTGCTTCTTTGAAAAGTCTCTGCATCCACTAATTCTATGGAAGATTTTCTCAAATCAATACTAGACTTTTTCACCTTTTCATCCATATCTACTATTTCAAAACTGGAAGATTGATCTTCATAACTGGTGGATTGGTAGCGTGAGATATCAAAACTGGTTTCACGCGAGGAATAGGGACAATCAAAACTTGATTCTGCCCTGCTGGACTTGCGATCGCCTTCCACCATTTCAAAGCTATCACCACCCGATTCTAAACGTTGTAAACTTACATCGGTATCAGCGCCCGGACTGCGTAAGGTCTCTAAGAAAGGTGAACGGGGAGGATCAAAAGAAGAACGCCTAGAAGGCGGTTCAAATTCTATAATAGGACACTGTAAAGGAGACTTCTCTAGAGAAGAACCCAAAGTGGCCGCCTCTAAAGCCTTTTTAGCGGCCACCTCCGCCTCTTCGGTTTCTTTTTTCAAATCTATGAGATTTACATAAATCGGTTCCTCTTTGTAGCCCTTTAAAATCTCAACTAATTCCGCACGAAAATCTTCCGGTATTATCAAATCATTCGAATCCGATTCACGTTCTTCGCTAATGCGCGGTTCGATGGGTTCACGACTTTCAGAGCGACGCTGAAAATGATGAACCGCTCCCGAGTTTTCGGTGGTTAAAGAAGAAATTTTCAAAGAATTATTGATTTCTTCCACGAGATTAGCTAAAATATTATCGGTCGTAGGATCGCCTTGTTCAGCGCCATCTTCTGGTTCTTCCTCGAGTTTCTTATCATGCTTGATATAGGATTCACCTACCTTTTCGAAATGGACATTGGCCAGCTCGAACGGTATATCGCTTAAAGGTGTTGCTCTACCCGAACCGCCGCTGCCTTCATGAATATTCAATTGTCCACTACCGCCACCAGCCGATGAAGTACCCGTTGAATCTGAACTGGGCCGTTTGCTATCATTCGATTGTGTTTGTTGTTGCTGCTGCTGTTGTTGTTGCTGTTTCGTTTTCTCCTCATCTCCGCGGGCAGATCGACGTAGTTTCAAGGACATTTTAGCGTAGTGTGAGAATTTCAATGACATCTTTGGTTCGAATCCAACTTCGGACATTTGTTTGACTACAGCACTCTTTGCAGCCGTCGACGAGGCGGCCGGACTGGCTGAAAAAGTACTTTGGCGTATTAGCGGTCCACTAGATGTACCCGATTCGGCTCTGGTAAAAGCATTAGCAAAGCGATTCGTGCGCGTCGATATGTGTTTTGAGGGTTTGCGCACAAAAGCCAAAATCTCACGCATTACGCTCTTCTTTTCCGGTTGCTGCTGTTGATCTTTGGCATCGGCGCCGGACTTTGCTTCAGCTTTTTCCTGCTCCTCCCGTTCACGTTGCTCCAAGAGCTTTTGGTTTTCTAGAGATTTTTCCATATTGCTGCTTTCGGCCATGCGATAGGTTTCGGCTGGATTGGAAACCGTTATGGGCGGTATGGGACCTATGGGACTGCGTTTATCGCCACTGAAATAAATTGGTGTGAAAAGATTGATAGAAGGTCTCTTGTAGCTGGTGGGAGTGCGAGCATCATCTGGTTCTGTGGCCGCATCACAGGTGGATCTACCATGAGCATCTTGTACATGCACCGTAGAAGTAGGACTTCTGCGTGACATCTGAGAAAAATCCAAAGGAGCAGCACTTCCCACTGGAGAGCGTCTTTCCTGGGTGTGTATGCTGAAGGTGGGACTGCGTCTATCTCCTGTAGGTGATCTGGCGGTAGGTGTGGTTGAACCAAAACCCAAATGCAAAGGCAATTCATTGGGTGATTTTAAACGATCATTGGCTACAAGTAGAGGACTGCGCCGTCCCTGAGGACTGCGATCATTATTAAAACCCACCGGACTTTTTCTACCCTGGGCCAAGGATAAAGAACCGGTCATGCTGCTTTTGCGTTTGTGTGAAGCCCTTAAAGTGCCCTGTCTGGATAAAGTGGTGGGCGTTTTCTGTGACACACTACCCGGACTTTTCGATTCAGGATGCGGCAATATGGGACTTTTGGGTGTATGAGGACTAAGCCCCTTATCGTTGGTCGTCAGCATGGCATTCAAAGTCAAAGGTCCCTGAGGATTTATGGGACTGCGGCGATCGCTGGGACTGCGGCGTGTGCGAAAACTTTGCGATTTAGCTTTGCGTATTTTTGGCAGGGATTGATTGTGTTTGTGACGTCCATGTGTTGAGTGATGGGAGGAGGAGGAGGAGGGGCCGTTCAACTTATGTTAGTTGGTATTATGTGGGCCACTGGTGGGATCGCTGCTGCCGCTGGAGCTCAAAGTTGTATTCGAACCATAGGGATCAAGTGAACTCTGCACGGACATCGATCTGCCTTGATTTTGTCGAGCCCTTCTCACTCGACTAGAGTTGGGAGACAATTTTCCGGGGTCGATACTTTCTGGGTCTGCCTGCAATGGTTAGAATCAGACATAAAGGGGGGACACAAGGGACGACAATCAATAACGCCCATGATAATGTTTACGTTCAACGTTCAGCAAGATCATGAGAGTTTTTAATTGAGGAAAATTGGAAAAATATGAAAGCGTTAATTTTTGTAAGCAATTTTTTTTTTGTTATAAAAAAAGCCAATTTTGTTAATTGTTTTAATCTTTAAAATTCGTTTTCAAAATAAAACTATTTCTAGGACTTACCTGGTAGGCCAAAGCATTCATTATAATGGAATAGGGCACCAAACCCAAAGGATGTATTTCACGCATCAAAACATTGGCGGGTATTTTATGGAATTGTATATATTCCAGGAAATTACCCAAAATCTCTTTCATATCGATATTCTGAAAACAGAGAAAGGTTTCAAATACCGTTCTTTTCGTTTGTAAATGGATTTAGTTGTCCTTACCGGATTATTATCATTATATTTCTTGCTCCACATTAAAGCTGCCTGAAACTTGGTAAACTCATCGGCTCTTAGTTCTTCACGGGCCAAAATCAATCTAACCACATGTTGAGGCAATAGAGTAAAACTACCCAAATTCAAAACTTCATTGCCATGTTCATCGACAAATTCCAAAACTTTCTGAACCAAACTTTTAGTACATTTGTACTGGATATAACGTTCGGCCGAGGACAATAAAGCGCAAACCGTATCCACATTAATACAACACTGGACAAAACCACCACAGGCCCGTCTCAGTTCCTCCAAACCATAATAATCGGCAGCATTCATAACTCCTATAAAATAAGAGAATCATTATGATCTTTATAATAACTCCAATGTTTTCATCCACTTACCCAACAAAGTTCGGGGCTGTAGGGTTACACATCCTGTATGTATGTATTCGATTAGTTGACGGAAAACATCCGGTTCAAATTCTTCTATAATCAAGGTTTGATGTTGTTGACCCGCAGGCTAAAAACAGGAATATGTAATAATTTTTTTAGTTTATATCAAAATTTTAAAAGGTTTTGCATATCATAGACATTTAAGAAAATCTCGCATTTCCATAATATAGTTGTAAATAGGTTAAAAATACATATTTTAAGGGAATGAAATATATTTTTCACAATAGCTTCTAAATTTTTTGATATTTAGGTTAAATTAGTTAAAAATTAAGTAAAATTCTTTAAAAAGTTACTCTCTTCCAATTCATAATAAAAAAATTCTAACTCAATTTTCAGTTAAAAACAAATTTCATTATGAATAGAGAAAGATCTCGCGAAAGATAGAGAGAAATGTTTATAAACATGTTGCCTAAATATTTAAACAAGGTTACCCACTTATTACACTTTTCTAAAGTTGGCAACTTTATTTTAATATCAGCATTTGGCAACATCTTTATAAATTTTTAAGAAAACTTGTTTAAATTAAAAGTTTAATAAGTTTTTATTAAAATTTGATCATAAATTAAAAAAAGATACTTTATTTTCTATATTCGAGTAGTAAAATTTAGACACTGAGTAAATGTTGAAAGGAATTTGTTAAGAAAAAATAGTAATAGTTTCCTAACAACTAAGATAATTATAGTTAAAGTAAAAATTTAGTAAAAAATCAAGTTCAGTTGAAAGTAGTAAAAAGTTTTTGAAAGAAAATATTTCATAATAGTTTAAGGAATTGAATTAGTGTCAGATTTCTTCGAGAAAAGGAATAGCTTTAAACGGACTATCAGTTAATACAGTCAGTGGACTTAATAGGGTTTCTAAATGTTACTTTTGTGTTATCCGTAATGGATCGTACCTCATCCTACCACTAGTGTGGCAGACAGACAGAGAAATAAGTCTATACTATAAAGACCTCGTAATTTGGCGAAAGAAGGTAGCACAAAACAGGAGGTTTTGTGGCAATCAAGCTAGATCATGTCAGATTTTTAATCGAACAAACATGTGGCGTCAAAGAATGAATCTTTCTTTGCGAAAATCGACTCGAAAGATCCGCCTAGCCGTGCAAAAATGAATGGTAAGGTAGACAAACAAAGCACGTGTTTGTGTGACAGACAGTGAGTAGTCTTTTCTATAGTCTAGTCTATAGTCTAGTCTATAGTCTAGTCTATAGTCTAGTCTATAGTCTAGTCTATAGTCTAGTCTATAGTCTAGTCTATAATCTAGTCTATAGTCTAGTCTATAGTCTAGTCTATAGTCTAGTCTATAGTCTAGTCTATAGTCTAGTCTATAGTCTAGTATATAGTCTAGTCTATAGTCTAGTCTATAGTCTAGTCTATAGTCTAGTCTATAGTCTAGTCTATAGTCTAGTCTATAGCCTAGTCTACAGTCTAGTCTATAGTCTAGTCTAGTCTAGTCTATAATCTAGTCTATAGTCTAGTCTATAGTCTAGTCTATAGTCTAGTCTATAGTTTAGTCTATAGTCTAGTCTATAGTCTAGTCTATAGTCTAGTCTATAGTCTAGTCTATTCTATAGTCTAGTCTATAGCCTAGTCTATAGTCTAGTCTATAGTCTAGTCTATAGTCTAGTCTATAGTCTAGTCTATAGTCTAGTCTAGACTAGTCTATAGTCTAGTCTATAGTCTAGTCTATAGTCTAGTCTATAGTCTAGTCTATAGTCTAGTCTATAGTCTAGTCTATAGTCAAGTCTATAGTCTAGTCTATAGTCTAGTCTATAGTCTAGTCTATAGTCTAGTCTATAGTCTAGTCTATAGTCTAGTCTATAGTCTAGTCTATAGTCTAGTCTATAGTCTAGTCTATAGTCTAGTCTATAGTCTAGTCTATAGTCTAGTCTATAGTCTAGTCTATAGTCTAGTCTATAGTCTAGTCTATAGTCTAGTCTATAGTCTAGTCTATAGTCTAGTCTAGTCTATAGTCTAGTCTATAGTCCTAGTCTATAGTCTAGTCTATAGTCTAGTCTATAGTTAGTCTATAGTCTAGTCTATAGTCTAGTCTATAGTCTAGTCTATAGTCTATTCTATAGGTCTAGTCTATAGTCCTAGTCTATAGTCTAGTCTATAGTCTAGTCTATAGTCTAGTCTATAGTCTAGTCTATAGTCTAGTCTATAGTCTAGTCTATAGTCTAGTCTATAGTCTAGTCTATAGTCTAGTCTATAGTCTAGTCTATAGTCTAGTCTATAGTCTAGTCTATAGTCTAGTCTATAGTCTAGTCTATAGTCTAGTCTATAGTCTAGTCTATAGTCTAGTCTATAGTCTAGTCTATAGTCTAGTCTATAGTCTAGTCTATAGTCTAGTCTATAGTCTAGTCTATAGTCTAGTCTATAGTCTAGTCTATAGTCTAGTCTATAGTCTAGTCTATAGTCTGTCTATAGTCTAGTCTATAGTCTAGTCTATAGTCTAGTCTATAGTCTAGTCTATAGTCTAGTCTATAGTCTAGTCTATAGTCTAGTCTATAGTCTAGTCTATAGTCTAGTCTATAGTCTAGTCTATAGTCTAGTCTATAGTCTAGTCTATAGTCTAGTCTATAGTCTAGTCTATAGTCTAGTCTATAGTCTAGTCTATAGTCTAGTCTATAGTCTAGTCTATAGTCTAGTCTATAGTCTAGTCTATAGTCTAGTCTATAGTCTAGTCTATAGTCTAGTCTATAGTCTAGTCTATAGTCTAGTCTATAGTCTAGTCTATAGTCTAGTCTATAGTCTAGTCTATAGTCTAGTCTATAGTCTAGTCTATACTCTAGTCTATAGTCTAGTCTATAGTCTAGTCTATAGTCTAGTCTATAGTCTAGTCTATAGTCTAGTATAGTCTAGTCTATAGTCTAGTCTATAGTCTAGTCTAGTCTATAGTCTAGTCTGTAGTCTAGTCTATAGTCTAGTCTATAGTCTAGTCTATAGTCTAGTCTATAGTCTAGTCTATAGTCTAGTCTATAGTCTAGTCTATAGTCTAGTCTATAGTCTAGTCTATAGTCTAGTCTATAGTCTAATCTGTAGTCTAGTCTATAGTCTAGTCGATAACTAGTCTAGTCTATATTCTAGTCGATAGTCTAGTCGATAATATGGTCTATCGTGTAGTCTTTAATCTAGTCTATAGTTTAATTTAAAGTAAAGACTTCGAGAAGTTTAGTCTAAAGAAGTTTAGTCAAGTCTAGACTATGTATAGTCAACCTAAAGATTTGTAAATACGAACCAATTGGTTTCGGGTATACATGTTATAAGTAGTACATATATGATAGATCATAAATATTTTTCTTTAAAATATATTTGTACTTGTGTATACAATGGAAACTCAATCCAAAATTTTGTTAAAAAAATATAAGTGCAAAATAATAAAGCATGCAAATTTTCCAAAAAAGATTTCAATTAAGCAAAAAAAAGTGTAAATGTTAAAAATGGCAAAAAGTAGGTTAGGAACCCTTTGGTTATGATTAGATTATGATTACAATAGACACCAATAAAAACTAATTCGATTAAGTAGTATATAATGTCAATAATATATGATCATGGAAGCAATTCAGAAAAATGATTTCAAAATCCAAATAAATACGAATGTATAAAATGGACGAACGAACGAGCGAACGAGCGTGTGAATTGAACTGAACAATCTCATACTATAAAACCAGGCAAATTTTCAAGTTAATTTTGTTTATAAATGACAACTCAAGTGACAGTTAGAGATATAAAGAGTTAATGACATGTAAAGAATGAAATTTTGAAATGTTTTTTTTTTTTTTTGTTTTTTCGAAACCAACTTGAAAATGTACTTTACCTCAGGTATCGGAGATAATTGTTGGGTAAAACCACTTCTCTATATATATATAAATTTTTTGGTTTGAAAATGAAAATGTAATGGGAAAGTTAACGGTTTTTAAATGATCTCAATGAATAAATGTATGATAATTGTTTGGCTTATAAATTTGAACAAAATTTATTATAGCGAAAAAAAAAATTACACTTGAATTAAGTTCAAAAAATGAAAGAAAAATTGAAAAATAAATTAAAGGAATCATTTGCTCACCTGTTGAGCAGCATTTTGTAAATTCAATAAAGGCTCCGAGGAACGTTTAAGGAATAAACGCAACTTATTTTCCTTGGTTGAGGTTTCGCGTTTTCTTTGCGGCGAGGGAGCAGCATAAAGCATTTTGGCAAAGACCCTTGAACGGGAAGCTAAAACGGCCTGTAAAATATATCTCAGTTATCAGTGGATCAATAAAACTTAATGTCAACTACTTACCTTCACCGCACATACTGGCTCTCGTGTGTCACCCACCAAAAATGTTACATCACACAACTCTGGCATAGAGGCCAGAAATTTCATATCCTCCGCCAGTCCAGTTTTATTTTCAAAAGTAGATAAGTCCGGCTCTGCGTCAGCCATACCGGGTAATGTTAAAGCTTCAGGCATTGGGGTTTCTAAAGATGCGTAGTTTTGTATTAACAAAATTATTATAAAATTTACTTCTTTATTAAATTAGTTTAGAAATAATTTAAAAAAAATTTTAGTAATTTTTCATTTCCATAAAAAATAGGGTTAGGAGTTAGTTAATTTAAAAAAACAATTGGAATTGGTAAAAAATTTTTACAAAAATATATACAATCTTAATAAAAGGTGCTAAAAACTGTGGAAGGGATCAGCTGATAATAACATTAGCTCAACACCGAACTAAAGGATATGTAACACAGTACTAAGTTAGACAATAATCTGGTTTATAGTCCAGATTATAGATTTGACTATAGACTAGACTATATATGGACCACAGATAAGACTAGAACTGAACTAGAATTGAACTAGAATTGAACTAGAACAGAACTAGAGCTGAACTAGAACTGAACTAGAACTGAACTAGAACTGAACTAGAACTGAACTAGAACTGAACTAGAACTGAACTAGAATAGAACTGAACTAGAACTGAACTAGAACTGAACTAGAACTGAACTAGAACTGAACTAGAACTGAACTAGAACTGAACTAGAACTGAACTAGAACTGACTAACTAAATAGAACTGAACTAGAACTGAACTAGAACTGAACTAGAACTGAACTAGAACTGAACTAGAACTGAACTAGAACTGAACTAGAACTCAACTAGAACTGAACTAGAACTGAACTAGAACTGAACTAGAGCTGAACTAGAACTGAACTAGAACTGAACTAGAACTGAACTAGAACTGAACTAGAACTGAACTAGAACTGAAATAGAACTGAACTAGAACTGAACTAGAACTGAACTAGAACTGAACTAGAACTGAACTAGAACTGAACTAGAATTGAGCTAGAACTGAACTAGAACTGAACTAGAACTGAACTAGAACTGAACTAGAACTGAACTAGAACTGAACTAGAACTGAACTAGAACTGAACTAGAACTGAACTAGAACTGAACTAGAACTGAACTAGAACTAGAACTGAACTAGAACTGAACTAGAACTGAACTAGAACTGAACTAGAACTGAACTAGAACTGAACTAGAACTGAACTAGAACTGAACTAGAACTGAACTAGAACTGAACTGAACTAGAACTGAACTAGAACTGAACTAGAACTGAACTAGAACTGAACTAGAACTGAACTAGAACTGAACTAGAACTGAACTAGAACTGAACTAGAACTGAACTAGAACTGAACTAGAACTGAACTAGAACTGAACTAGAACTGAACTAGAACTGAACTAAAACTGAACTAGAACTGAACTAGAACTGAACTAGAACTGAGATAGAACTGAACTAGAACTGAACTAGAACTGAACTAGAACTGAACTAGAACTGAACTAGAACTGAACTAGAACTGAACTAGAACTGAACTAGAACTGAACTGGAACTGAACTAGAACTGAACTAGAACTGAACTAAACTGAACTGGAACTGAACTAGAACTGAACTAGAACTGAACTAGAACTGAACTAGAACTGAACTAGAACTGAACTAGAACTGAACTAGAATGAACTAGAACTGAACTAGACTGAACTAGAAACTGAACTAGAACTGAAACTAGAACTGAACTAGAACTGAACTAGAACTGAACGAGAACTGAACTAGAACTGAACTAGAACTGAACGAGAACTGAACTAGAACTGAACTAGATGACTAACTAGAACTGAACTAAGAACTGACCTAGAACTGAACTAGAACTGAACTAGAAACTGAACTAGAACTGAACTAGAACTGAACTAGAACTGAACTAGAACTGAACGAGAACTGAACTAGAAACTGACCTAGAACTGAACGAGAACTGAACTAGAACTGAACTAGAACGGAACTAGAAATGAACTAGAACTGAACTGAAACTGAACTAGAACTGAACTAGAACTGAACTAGAACGAACTAGAACTGGAACTAGAGCTGAACTAGAACTGAACTAGAACTGAACTAGAACTGAACTAGAACTGAACTAGACTAACTAGAACTGAACTAGAACTGAACTAGAACTGAACTAGAACTGAACTAGAACTGAACTAGAACTGAACTAGAACTGAACTAGAACTGAACTAGAACTGAGCTAGAACTGAACTAGAACTGAACTAGAACTGAACTAGAACTGAACTAGAACTGAACTAGAACTGAACTAGAACTGAACTAGAACTGAACTAGAACTGAACTAGAACTGAACTAGAACTGAACTAGAACTGAGAACTGAACTAGAACTGAACTAGAACTGAACTAGAACTGAACTAGAACTGAACTAGAACTGAACTAGAACTGAACTAGAACTGAAGAACTGAACTAACTAGAACTGAACTAGAACTGAACTAGAACTGAACTAGAACTGAACTAGAACTGAACTAGAACTGAACTAGAACTGAACTAGAACTGAACTAGAACTGAACTAGAACTGAACTAGAACTGAACTAGAACTGAACTAGAACTGAACTAGAACTGAACTAGAACTGAACTAGAACTGAACTGAACTAGAACTGAACTAGAACTGAACTAGAACTGAACTAGAACTGAACTAGAACTGAACTAGAACTGACTAGAACTGAACTAGAACTGAACTGAACTGAACTAGAAACTGAACTAGAACTGAACTAGAACTGACTGAACTAGAACTGAACAGACGACTAGAACTGAAACTAGAACTGAACTAGAACTACTAAGACTGAACTAGAACTTGAACTAAACTGAACTAGAACTGAAACTAGAACTGAACTAGAACTGAACTAGAACTGAACTAGAACTGAACTAGAACTAGAACTATAACTGAACTAGAACTGAACTAGAACTGAACCAGAACTGAACCAGAACTGAACTAGAACTAAATAGAATTGAGTGCTGGATAGATTAGTCTTTAGTCTGGACAATACATTAATCTAAACTATAGTATAGTCCGGACGATGCACTTCACTTTGAACAAAACTATAGTCTCGACTATGACGAGACTATTTAAATAATATACTTTATATAAATATCCATAAGACTCTGTCCTCATGCCTCATCAATATGGCCAAACTGACAGCATCATCTTCATCTTTTCGAGTACATATATAAAATTTCCATAAAACATGATGACATTAAGAAAACAACCTTGTTGCTTCAAATTGAACACAAAAAACAAACGTATACCTTGTAGTATCTGTACATAAAATTATAAAAGGTTTCATTGCCATACTTTTTCCTCGCTATAAACCCTGAAATGTGATTGAATTTTAAACGCTATTCAATTTTTACAGAAAGAAGCCTTTCGAATGTCTCTGGACAAAATTGACCTTTAGATTTTGTAACATTCTACAAATGTTGTTCTTGGCCAAACAGCCAGTCAACCATTTAACGATAAAACAGATTTTTAATTAAAAATTCAAACCCTTCAAATGTAACGATTTAAAAAGTTTTTCTATATTGTACCCATTACTTGTATGTATTTCTTTTATTATTGTTGTTGTTTTCTCTGCCTTCAAACGTTTACTTTTCTCTGACATCAACAATATTTTTTGCTGTTGTAAGAGCGAGAGTGGAAAAGAGGGGGATGCTGTAAAAATGCTGTTGGTGCCACAATAATATAACAACAACAAGTGTTGTGACTGAACGATAAAAAACAAAATTGTGTGTGTAATAAATAAATTGTTGCAAAAAGGGGGGTGTTGCGGGGTTCGGTGGATGTTTACAAGACAATATGACTAAAAAAAAAAAAAGTACAAATTTTGGGAGTGCTGTCAATCACAAAAGATTTACGACTACGCATGCTGATTTAAAAGTTTTTTTGCTGTATCTTTTATAGAAAAAAGTTTCAGTAAACAAAAACAAATTAATGGAAAATTAAATGTATCCTATAAATAAATTTCAAAAAATTTTTTTCGCTAAAAAGCAATTATTAAGGGGTGTTTCTTTGTGGGGCACATCACGTGAAAATAATGTTCAAAGTCAATAGGCCAGACTGTAACTAGTCTTAAGGCCATTCTATATGATATATTATAGGCAAGACTATATAGTCTATAGAACGGACTAAACTCGTGTATATATATGTCTAGTTCAGTTCTAGTTCAGTTCTAGTTCAGTTCTAGTTCAGTTCTAGTTCAGTTCTAGTTCTAGTTCAGTTCTAGTTCAGTTCTAGTTCAGTTCTAGTTCAGTTCTAGTTCAGTTCTAGTTCAGTTCTAGTTCAGTTCTAGTTCAGTTCTAGTTCAGTTCTAGTTCAGTTCTAGTTCAGTTCTAGTTCAGTTCTAGTTCAGTTCTAGTTCAGTTTCTAGTTCAGTTCTAGTTCAGTTCTAGTTAAGTTCTAGTTCAGTTCTAGTTCAGTTCTAGTTCAGTTCTAGTTCAGTTCTAGTTCAGTCTAGTCTAGCTAGTCTAGTCTAGTCTATCTAGTCTAGTCTAGTCTAGTCTAGTCTAGTCTAGTCTAGTCTAGTCTAGTCTAGTCTAGTCTAGTCTAGTCTAGTCTAGTCTAGTCTAGTCTAGTCTAGTCTAGTCTAGTCTAGTCTAGTCTAGTCTAGTCTAGTCTAGTCTAGTCTAGTCTAGTCTAGTCTAGTCTAGTCTAGTCTATAGTCTAGTCTATAGTCTAGTCTATAGTCTAGTCTATTAGTCTAGTCTATAGTCTAGTCTATAGTCTAGTCTATAGTCTAGTCTATAGTCTAGTCTATAGTCTAGTCTATAGTCTAGTCTATAGTCTAGTCTATAGTCTAGTCTATAGTCTAGTCTATAGTCTAGTCTATAGTCTAGTCTAGTCTAGTCTAGTCTATAGTCTAGTCTATAGTCTAGTCTGTAGTCTAGTCTATAGTCTAGTCTATAGTCTAGTCTATAGTCTAGTCTATAGTCTAGTCTGTAGTCTAGTCTATAGTCTAGTCTGTAGTCTAGTCTATAGTCTAGTCTATAGTCTAGTCTATAGTCTAGTCTATAGTCTAGTCTATAGTCTAGTCTATAGTTTAGTCTATAGTCTAGTCTATAGTCTAGTCTATATTATAGTCTATAGTAAAGTCTATAGTCTAGTCTATAGTATACTCTCTACTCTCTAGTCTAGTATAGTCTACATTCTAGAGTCTAGTCTATCTTCAAGTCTATAGTTTAGTCTATAGTATAGTCTATAGTCTAGTCTATGGTATAGTCTATATTATAGTCTATAGTCTAGTCTATAGTATACTCTCTACTCTCTAGTCTAGTATAGTCTACATTCTAGAGTCTAGTCTATATTCAAGTCTATAGTCTAGTCTATATTCAAGTCTATAGTCTAGTCTATAGCCTAGTCTATAGTCTAGTCTATAGTCTAGTCTATAGTCTAGTCTATAGTCTAGTCTATAGTCTAGTCTATAGTCTAGTCTATAGTCTAGTCTATAGTCTAGTCTAGTCTATAGCTAGTTATAGTCTAGTCTAGTCTATAGTCTAGTCTATAGTCTAGTCTATAGTCTAGTCTATAGTCTAGTCTATAGTCTAGTCTATAGTCTAGTCTATAGTCTAGTCTATAGTCTAGTCTATAGTCTATAGTCTAGTCTATAGTCTAGTCTATAGTCTATAGTCTAGTCTAGTCTAGTCTATAGTCTAGTCTATAGTCTAGTCTATAGTCTAGTCTATAGTCTAGTCTATAGTCTAGTCTATAGTCTAGTCTATAGTCTAGTCTATAGTCTAGTCTATAGTCTAGTCTATAGTCTAGTCTATAGTCTAGTCTATAGTCTAGTCTATAGTATAGTCAATAGTCTAGTCTATAGTCTAGTCTATAGTCTAGTCTATAGTCTAGTCTATAGTCTAGTCTATAGTCGTCTATAGTCTAGTCTATAGTCTAGTCTATAGTCTAGTCTATAGTCTAGTCTATAGTCTAAACTATACTCTAGTCTATAGTCTAGTCTATAGTCTAGTCTATAGTCTAGTCTATAGTCTAATCCATAGTCTAGTCCATAGTCTAGTCTATAGTCTAGTCTAGTCTATAGTCTAGTATATAGTATAGTCTATAGTCTAGTCTATAGTCTAGTCTATAGTCTAGTCTATAGTCTAGTCTATAGTCTATAGTCTAGTCTATAGTCTAGTCTATCTAGTCTATAGTCTAGTCTATAGTCTAGTCTATAGTCTAGTCTATAGTCTAGTCTATAGTCTAGTCTATAGTCTAGTCTATAGTCTAGTCTAGTCTATAGTCTAGTCTATAGTCTAGTCTATAGTCTAGTCTATAGTCTAGTCTATAGTCTATAGTCTAGTCTATAGTCTAGTCTATAGTCTAGTCTACAGTCTAGTCTATAGTCTAGTATATAGTCTAGTCTATAGTCTAGTCTATAGTCTAGTCTATAGTCTAGTCTATAGTCTAGTCTATAGTCTAGTCTATAGTCTAGTCTATAGTCTAGTCTATAGTCTAGTCTATAGTCTAGTCTATAGTCTAGTCTATAGTCCAGTCTATAGTCTAGTCTATAGTCTAGTCTATAGTCTAGTCTATAGTCTAGTCTATAGTCTAGTCTATAGTCTAGTCTATAGTCTAGTCTATAGTCTAGTCTATAGTCTAGTCTTTATTCTAGTCTATAGTCTAGTTTATAGTCTAGTCTATATTCTAATCTATAGTATAGTCTATATTCTAGTCTATAGTCTAGTCTTTAATTTTGTATTTAGTGTAATTTAGTCTATAGACTAGTCTATAGTCTAGTCTATAGTCTAGTCTATAGTTTAGTCTATAGTCTAGTCTATAGTCTAGTCTATAGTCTAGTCTATAGTCTAGTCTATAGTCTAGTCTATAGTCTAGTCTATAGTCTAGTCTATAGTCTAGTCTATAGTCTAGTCTATAGTCTAATCTATAGTCTAGTCTATAGTCTAGTCTATAGTGTAGTCTTTATTCTAGTCTATAGTCTAGTTTATAGTCTAGTCTATATTCTACTCTATAGTATAGTCTATATTCTAGTCTATAGTCTAGTCTTTAATTTTGTATTTAGTGTAATCGAGTTGTGATTGAATGTTCAGTTGTTTTGGGGTTTTTAAGTTAAATTTATTTTAATTAAGATTTAAGTTACTTTAATCCATGGATACCTTGAATTATTTGGTGTTTTGTGAAAACTATTTTAATTGTGTAATTTAAGCGATTTTGTTGTTGTTTTAATAAACTGCTTTGTTACTTACCAACTAAAATATTTTGAATTTTTTTTTGGGACGTTTCAACGGATTTCAAAATAAATATTTGAAAAATCCGTTTAGTCGCTTAATATTATTTCATTATTAACTGTTTTTTAGTTTTGTTAAACATTAGGGTTTTTTTTAGTAATAAGGAAAAATTAACAAAAATTACAGATTAGTGTTACGAATAAAAAATAGTCAAATAAAACATGCATTTTTTAAGAAAAAAACAAAAGAAAAGAATTACAAAAATGTATGTGATTTAAAAAAGCAGTAATAAAATAAGAAAAAAAAAGTTCTCAAAATACACGTTACAAAAAAAGTTACAACTTTATGTGTGAAGAAGAAAATCAACAAATAATTTTCTGGGTCAATAATTGGGTAGTTGGGTTAAGGTTACAACACATCATTCTTCTTCTGTTATTTTTGTTTTTTCTTTTTGTAACGTTAGTATTTTTTTGTTGTTAAACTTTGTTTTTGTCTCTCAGTGTTTTTTTTCGTTTTGGTTTCTCTTTTTTTTAAGGATTCTGACATTTTCGAGTACACACACAATATTTTTACGCATATACACACACAAAAATTTTGAATATAGACAAAATGAAAAAAAAGGATCAAACGTACGAATGGAAAAAATATGGTATGCAATCAGAAAAAAAATTAGGAAATTTTTTCACAAGACTAAAAATATAAAAATTTTAAGGAATTTTTATAAAAAAAACTTGCATTTTGGCAATTTGATTTCAAAGAAAATTAGTAAATTTTGTTAAAAATATTAAAATAAAGTTTACTTTTTATTTAAACAAATCTTAGGCTCACGATAAGAAAATTTATTTTTTTATTTTTTAAAGTTTTTCTTTAAGCACTGTTCTTTTTTCTTTTCTTAAAAGAAAATTAAAACTTTTCTTTTTGCGTTCTTTTTCTTTCTAATAAAATAAATTAGCAAATAATTATAAAATTTGTGTTAATTTTTTCTATATATATTTTTTCAATATTTTAATAATTAATTTTTATTCTTTTTTTACAATTTTATTGAAGTTTGCGAACCGTTTGGTTGAAGAGTAAAATGTATTCTGTTGATTTGGTCTCTATACCAAAAGGAGTTTACCCAAAAAAACAACTAAATGAAGGCGAAGGAAATTCTTAAAATTTTAGAAAGCACATGCGCTTTAAGCAGTTTATTAAAGGACTTTTGGGAGGTTATAATTATTTATAACATAAATTTAGCAAATTACAATTTTTAAAAGAATTCACAGACTAGAATATAAACTAGACAGTGGACTAGACTATACACTTGACTATAGACTAGATTATGGGCTAGACTAGACCACAGACTAGACTAAAAACTATAACCTGGACTAGACTATAGACTAGACTATAGACTAGACTATAGACTAGACTATAGACTAGACTATAGACTAGACTATAGGCTAGACTATAGACTAGACTATAGGCTAGACTATAGACTAGACTATAGGCTAGACTATAGACTAGACTATAGACTAGACTATAGACTAGACTATAGACTAGACTATAGACTTGACTATAGACTGACTATAGACTAAAACTGAGTCAAAACTAAACTAGAACGGAACCAGAACTGAACTAGAACTGAAGTAGAACTTAACTAGAACTGAAATAGAACTGAAAAAGAACAGAACTAGAACTGAACTAGGTCTGGACTAGAACTGAATTAAAACTGAACTAGAACTGAACTAGAACAGAACTAGAACTGAATTAGAACTGAACTAGAACTGAACTGGAACTGAACTAGAGCTGAACTAGAGCTGAACTAGAACTGAACTAGAACTGAACAGAACTGAACTAGAACTGAACTAGAACTGAGCTAGAACTGAATTAGAACTAGAACTGAACTAGAACTGAACTAGAACTGAACTAGAACTGAACTAGAACTGAACTAGAACTGAACTAGAACTGAACTAGAACTGAACTAGAACTGAACTAGAATGAACTAAAACTGAACTAGAACTGAACTAGAACTGAACTAGAACTGAACTAGAACTGAACTAGAACTGAACTAGAACTGAACTAGAACTGAACTAGAACTGAACTAGAACTGACTAGAACTGACTAGAACTGAACTAGAACTGAACTAGATCTGAACTAGAACTGAACTAGACTAACTAGAACTGAACTAGAACTGAACTAGAACTGAACTAGAACTGAACTAAACTGAACTAGAACTGAACTAGTACTGAACTAGAACTGAACTAGAACTGAACTAGAACTGAACTAGAACTGAACTAGAACTTAACTAGAACTGAACTAGAACTGAACTAGAACTGAACTAGAACTGAACTAGAACTGAACTAGGACTGAACTAGAACTGAACTAGAACTAGAACTGAACTAGAACTGAACTAGAACTGACTAGAACTGAACTAGAACTGAACTAGAACTGAACTGAGACTAGAACTGAACTAGACTGAACTAGAACTGAACTAGAACTGAACTAGAACTGAACTAGAACTGAACTAGAACTGAACTAGAACTGAACTAGAACTGAACTAGAACTGAACTAGAACTGAACTAGAACTGAACTAGAACTACTAGAACTGAACTAGAACTGAACTAGAACTGAACTAGAACTGAACCTAGAAACTGAACTAGAACTGAACTAGAACTGAACTAGAAACTGAACTAGAACTGAACTAGAACTGAACTAGACTGAACTAGAACTGAACTAGAACTGAACTAGAACTGAACTAGAACTGAACTAGAACTGAACTAGAACTGAACTAGAACTGAACTAGAACTGAACTAGACCTGAACTAGAACTGAGCAGACAGAACTAGAACTGAACTAGAACTGAACTAGAACTGAACTAGAACTGAACTAGAACTGAACTAGAACTGAAATAGAACTGAACTAGGTCTGGACTAGGTCTGGACTAGAACTGAACTAGAACGAACTAGACTCACTAGAACTGAACTAGAACTGAACTAGAACTGAACTAGAACTGAACTAGAACTGAACTAGAACTGAACTAGAACTGAACTAGAACTGAACTAGAACTGAACTAGAACTGAACTAGAACTGAACTAGAACTGAACTAGAACTGAATTAGAACTGAACTAGAACTGAACTAGAACTGAACTAGAACTGAACTAGAACTGAACTAGAACAGAACTAGAACTGAACTAGAACTGAACTAGAACTGAACTAGAACTGAACTAGAACTGAACTAGAACTGAACTAGAACTGAACTAGAACTGAACTAGAACTGAACTAGAACTGAAATAGAACTGAACTAGAACTGGTTCAAATAGCTTGGGAATTTTCTTGTTCCAAATTCCTTTACTATTTGGCAAAAACCCACACCCATCATTAAACTGCAAAGGAATTTTTATTAAAGCCCCTAAGGATTTAAGCAGAATTCTTTGTTGTTCTTATTGCAACAAGTTTTATTCAAATTTTCGTGTTCGTGTCAGACATGCGTTTTATTGTAACTACCCCGCATCCCTTAAATTTACAATAGTAATTTAACAAATTTTATATTAAAAGCAAGTGAGGTTAGGTTTTAACCACTTGTTTGCTTTACAATAAAAACACTCGCTGGCTCTCTGTTTTCTTCAATACTCTCTTTGTTTTGTAATATTTTTAAGGAAAAAAGGATTCGGCGCTTTAATAAAGTGAATGTGTGTGGTAAACGTAAACAAATATTTGTCAAATGTCAAATGACAATAACCAAGTGAAGTTGGCTGTGATTAATTGTCATTTAAACAGCTGTTTTAGAACAGTGGTTGTTGAGGTAAAATGAATTTGATTAGAATTTAATTAAAAATTATAATATTTAGATTGATTTGGGTAATTTATTAAGAGAAGACCACCCATTAAATGTTAAAACATTTATTAAGGCTACTGTTGTAAACTGAAACTCTGTGTAGGAAATGTAAAACTTGTTGACGCCTGTCAAGTAGTTTTCTAACACTTGAAGTAAATGTCAAGTGGATTTTTGTTTAACCACAACAAATAATGGAATTGTATTTCCGCAAAATTATGTAAATATTTAGTCAGTTTTATATTATTTTTACTAAACAGATAGACAGACACACACACACGTTTTATGGCAGACAGACAAGTCTGTCTCTTGGACCACTTGACATATTAATTTTGGTTCCTTTTACACAAAATAACCACGGGTGTTTGGCGGCACTGACCTAACCTAGTAATAGTTTACTTTTAACATTAAACTAAATAAAGGATCTTATCACAAATCTTCAAGTGTTTTTTTTACGCAAACATACAACATTTTTATCTGTCAAATTTGTTTTCATGTTTTGCTTTGTTTGTTTTGTTTTGCAATTGATATTTTGTTTTGTAAACAAACAACTCATCATTATGCAGGATTAGCGATGAAATGTTGTTGTTTATGTTGGCGCCAAGTTAAAACTAAGTATTTGAAAATTTAAAACAGAAAAATTATAAATTCTTAAAAAACTTTAACAATTAATATATATCATTTAATGAAATCTTTAACACGTTTTTAAACGTTTCTTGCAAATTAGTTTCTTAATTTTTACTCATACCCTGCAACACTTCAACTTGCCTTTTCCAATGCCTTTTGCAATTATTGCATCTTGTTTTTGGTTAATCATGCTCATCTGATTTAATGCATTTTTATTTCGCTTGAAGTGCATGTTTTCTTTTTATATAAATTTTTACTTATTTCAGTTTATTTTTCTTTTGCCCGGTTTTACATTAATCTTATTTCGTTATATTTATGGCTTTTTCCCCTCTTTTAATGAAGGGGTTTTTGATGGATCAAACGAGTACTGGAATTTCAATTCGCTGGCAAGAGAAAGAGAAGAGTACAGGAAATCGTGTAAATGTTTACATGTAAATGTAAGAAACAATCAATGTAGGGTTTCCCAAGAACTAGTTGAGAACTATAAAAGTACTAGAACAGAGTTAGAACCGAACTAGAACCGAACTAGAATAGAACTAGAACTAGAACAGAACTAGAATAGAACTAGAACAGAGCTAGAACAGAACTAGAACAGAACTAGAACTGAACTAGAACTGAACTAGAACTGAACTAGAACAGAACTAGAACAGAACTAGAACAGAACTAGAACAGAACTAGAACAGAACTAGAACAGAACTAGAACAGAACTAGAACAGAACTAGAACAGAACTAGAACAGAACTAGAACAGAACTAGAACAGAACTAGAACAGAACTAGAACAGAACTAGAACAGAACTAGAAAAGAACTAAAACAGAAGTAGAACAGAACTAGAAAAGAACTAAAACAGAAGTAGAACAGAACTAGAACGTGAACAAATGAACACCCTATAACTTGTAGATATTCATTTTTTTTATTCTATATGATATTCCCATGATTCGTTTCCACTTGCAAAAAGAACTGCATGCCTGTCAGTCCATCAAATCTTATAAATAGCTCCTTTAAAAATGAAAACAGATTTTAATTTTAAATTGGTTTTATTTTTGGAGGAAATTTGTATTTGCTCCACTTTATAAGCAAAAATACACTGTAAAAAATTTTAAGCTAAATAAAGCCAATTAATAAATGAAATATTATAATACATAGTTTTCGATCATTAATTACCTTTTAAATTTCTTGATCAATTAGATTTAAAAAGAAATGTTAAACACTTTTTCATGATTTTTTAAATTCTTTTAAATTATATGTACGTAGAGAGAAGAGAGTCTTTTGTCCCCTTACAAGAGTGTCGCCGCACCCCCGCTGTTCAAAAGACTGCTGTTTGAGTAAATGTATGTATGACACAACGTGTGTCGTCTAAGTAAAAAGAACAAGACTGGAGAGTGTTAAGAATAAAGTAATGAAGGAAAGAATACGCACAAGCAGCAAATCAATCGTACTTGACATGAAATATTTGTACAAAAAAAGACAAGAAGAAAAAATATAATAAACAGACGGACAAACACACACATACTACTTCCATTTAAGAATAAAATACAAACAACAAAGAAAGAGTAATAAGACCAAAAACAACGACATTACATTATTTAATTATGCTAAATGCAACAAATACTGCAAGCTGATGTCACAGAAGA